TGGACTTTGGACATAGGAGTGGTCAACATTTGAATAATGAAAACAACTGTGAGATCCCTAAAAGTGATACTGCCATTCAATTGGGAGGAGGGAGGCCTCGGAGTTAAATCACTAGCTGTACCTGTAACAACTGAGTTTTACAACTGGTTTCCTGTCACCGGAAGACTGAAGGTCCCAGCACCTCTTGAGGGATGTTTATCATGGCCCTATGGGATATCTTACTTTAATGTCTAACTAGAGGTAGCCATGGGAACGTGGGTTTTATTCGACTCTCAGGGCAGAAGAGTTAAGGAAACATCTTCACACTTGTGTATTGGTCAGAATCTACATTCGGACAAAGGGGAGGGGTCATTATAAGTTAAATCCCACTTGCATTGCCTAAAGGGCTTCAGATGCTGCTTTGCCTCTAATGGTTTCCATCCTGCTTGATTAAAGGTTCCTTTTGAAATAATCTGTTTCAAGAATCTTTACTTTCTTAAGTTAGAAGAGGAGTCATTACAACAACGCTTGACTAGAAGAACTTCTGATTGAACTCAACAATATGCATTGGGATATCATTGGATTATGTGAAACACAACGAAAAGGTGAACATTTAGTTGAACTTGATAGGACTGGGCATTTACTCCACACTAGAGGTACCGAAGATGGATAATGTGGTAGAGTTGGTTTTCTCATCAACCGAAAGCTGAAAGACTCTGTAGTAACATTTAAAGGTGTATCTGACAGAGTAGCCCAATGCATCATTCAATTGAACAAATAGTACAAGCTTCAAATCATCCAAGCTTACATGCCAACAATAAGCTATAGTGATGATGAGATTGAAAAGTTTTACGATGATGTGGCCAGCCTTCAAGACAAAGAAAAATACCAATACAAAATACGAATGGGTGACTTTAATGCAAGAATAGGAAGAACAATACCTGGAGAAAAAGTGACTTGTTCACATATAGAAGTGGTGAACAAGATAATAGAAGTGATAGACTAGTAGATTATGCTAAGGACAGGAACTTTATATAATGAACTCATTTTACAAGAAAAAGACTAACAGAAAATGGATATGGAAGAGTCCGCCTGAGTACACAAACAAAATTAACTACATCATATCAGATGATAAAACCATATTCTGCAATTGTTCTGTCATCAGTTGTTTTAATGTTGGAAGTGACCATAGAATGATATGAGGTAAAGGGAAAATAGACGGTCAAAAAGAATGTATGAAAATGATAAAATCACAATGAAAAACAAAAATAAAGAGTGTTAGAGAACATCAATTTGGGGATTAATCTATCAAATTGCTTTGCTCTATTGCAAGGTTTAGAAGAGATGAACATTATGGACCAAAATGAACAAATAATCAAAACAGCCTTTAATTTGCTACATCTGTAGCACTACTGGGAAAACACTTGGTACAGTCAAAAATCTCTGATGAAACTATTGTTTAATGAAAAAATGATGGACAATGAAGAATATCAGAAGTTTCACTAATAAACTAGCATACATTGAACTTTGCAAGACCATAAGAAAATGTATCCGAAAAGAAACTCATCAGTTTAATGTGAAGCATGTGAAAAAGGCAATTGAAGAAAACAAAGGGAATAATAGCACAAAATGCAAGCTTATAAATACAAGAAAGGTTTACGTTAAAATGTGAAATGGCTGTGTGTAGAACAAGACAGGAAATGTTAGAAATAATTGGAAAATTATATTCAGAGCTATAGAAAGATGAAGATCATTCAAAAGTAACAACACCCACACAAAAATTGCCAGATATTCTAGCAGAGGAAATACCAAGTGCTGTAAAATCAATGAAAAATGACAAAACTTCAGGAAATGACTGTATTACAGTTGAAATGCCTGGCCAGTGGGTGGCCAGCCAGCCAGCCGGCCCTTGGTGGAAAAGCGATGCTGTGCCGGGGCTGAGAGAAGCAGTGGTGGTGGTGGTGGCAATGCTGAAGGAGGGCAAGCGGACATCCCGGGGCTGCTGCACATGCACCCGCTTCATTTCTGCAAAGTTAGACACCCCCCCTTTACAGGGTGATCCAAAGAAGGAAGGAGGATACTGCAGAAAAGACTGCCTTCCACCTGGGCCCGCATGCCTCTCGTGCCGGCTTTGCAGGGATTCAGGCTCCAAAGCAGCCCACTGGCTTCCCAACCAGCCACCTGCCTGCTCCCTGGCTGTGGCACAACTTACCACTGGCGAAGAAGCAGAGCAAGAGGCAGAAGCTGCTGCCGGGTGGTGAGGGGCAGCTGAGTCTCTTTCCTCCTGGAGCACCGGACTCCGCAGGCCGAGTTCCCAGTGTAGTGCTGGCGGTTGGACAGGCCAATCTGCAAAGATTGCCCTCCCCCTGATTTCTCCGTGGCTGTGCTAGCCTTGTGCTGTGGCAAGGAAGGCGCCTCTGAAAGAGACAGAAGCGGGTGCAGCACTTCTTCAGAGAAGCTGAGGCTGGATGGTGGTGCAATATGGCTCTAGCCTTGGCTCCTCTGAAGAAACACCATGCCCGCTTCCTTCTCATTGAGAGCCGCCTTGCAAAATGTCAGAAAATCCCACATTTTGCAAGGCAGCTCTCAAAGAGAAGAAATTAGGCATTGGGCTTCTTCCAACAGCCAAGGCCTTGGCTCCTCTTCCTTCCTCAGTTGTTGGAAGAAGCGCCATGCCTGCTTCCTTCTCTTTGAGAGAAAATCCCCCATGGGGTGGAATTTCACAACCTTGCAGATTGTCACTCACTTCCTACTAGGAATGGAGACCACTGGACTCAAGGCTACATGCATTTGATGTGGCATCTGCAGGACTGCAATGCAAGTAGCCTTCAAAGTGCCACAGCCTTCCTGGGGTTCTGGATTTCTCTGGTAGGCAAAGCAAGTGCCTAGACCCAGCGAACCTAAAGGGGAGAGGCGGCTGAAGGCAGCCAAGGGAGACGTCTTCCTGCTCAGTGCTTCCACCTCCTTTCTCCCCCCTTTTGAGAGAAAACAGGTCATCAAGCCAACCCTCCCACGCCACTTTCTCACTCCTGTAAAGGAAGCAGGCAACTGGAGTGTGGATGGCCACAGATGGACAAGCGGAGGGCATGGCTGCATTAAGGGGAGGACAGCCCCTTTCCCCACCAGCCGAGCTCTCCCGAAGCTGCCGGTGTGAAGGTGAGGCAGGGTGGGGGCCTGGCAATCTTCAGAGTTGGTCGCTTTTAGACATGTTAGCCTGGCTAGCAGCCTACTACTCCCGTCCCCACGGCCCTGTCATGTTTGCCTTCCACGTGGCTTTCCTGGCAATCACCCACACCTGCTTGCCTTCCAAGGTCAGGTCACACATCCAGCCCGTGAAGGGAGAAACACTGCTTCGGGGCCAGCCCAACCAGTGGGTGGGCGGGCAACCCTTGTGGGAGATGCAACCGCAGTGCTGAGGCCAAGAGTGGTGGTGGCGGTGCTCCAGGAGGGTGGGCAGATGCATAATAAAGTATGCTATCTTCTATACTATCTAAAAATTACAGACTGATCTCTTTGTTGAATGTGGATTATAAAATATTTGCATCAATAATGGCAGAAAGACTAAAGAATGAATTTATATGAATGAATTCTTACATACAGACCAAAATGGTTTCCTACCGAAGAGGCAGATTAGAGACAACATGATAATAGTCTTGAACACTTTGGAATATTACAAAGTGCAAGCTGGAAAACAAATGGCATTGATGTTCCTAGACATGCAGAAGGCAATAATACAATAATACAATAGCAGAGTTGGAAGGGACCTTGGAGGTCTTCTAGTCCAACCCCCTGCCTAGGCAGGAAACCCTATACCGTTTCANTAGCCAGATTTGTGTAATTGAAATCAGAAGCAGGACACTCCTTGCCTCTCCTCAATTCAGGAGTTAAAAAGTCAATTTAGTTCATCAAGTCTACATCCCTGTTCAGTATAGGGATTTAAATTCAGAAGTACTCTAATCTGAATGATGAACATAGCAAGGATTGGAGAATGGAAGAGGAACAGAGAGAAGTTGTGGAGTTGTGGAAGCATCAAAGACAGTTTCCAGAATCTTGGGTTCTGAGAAAGTCTGAAAAGTGAACTGTGACTGTCTATAGAAATGGTTTCCACCAGAGATGGAGACTTGTAAGAATCTGATCAATCCTCTTCCAAACATCCAGTCAAGGTTCAATCATTATATTCTGGAATCTGAAATCGCTCCCTGTTCAGAACAACAAGGGAAATCTTAATTTGAAGCATGAAAGTTGTGTTCTAAAAGATAAAGGGCAAGAGATGTCATTTTTCTCATAATACTTTTTATCCTATATTTTATCCTAACAGTATCACTGTTGGATTGATTATATGTCAGATTAGCCTCCAAGATCATTTCTTATAATTCACCATGAAATAAAGGTATATCTTGATCAATACTCAAAAGGAGCAGATCCACTATGGACAAGCTTTTCAAATTGCACTTTCATGGACAATATCACTTTCTCCCCAAAGTCTGCCCCTTTCTCCTGCTGTCACCCACCTTCCATGGTAGAGATGGTTCCCTCTGCACAAAGACGACAATCATAGCAGCAGATGGGCTTCCCTTCCTGAACCACCTTCATAAACCCAGGAGGACAGCTTTCCACACACTTGGAAGGAGGCAAGGGCTGAGCAAAGAAAAAGAAAGCAATAACATTCCCAAAATGAATTATTTGCATATCCTAATTTTAATAAAAGGAAAAGTTTCAGGACCTTCATTTCAAGGCGTAGCTTTGTTACATTAGAAGTTTACCACTTGAAGCTCATCAAATTGATGGTTGATTGTTGTAGTTCATCAGGCTGTTTGTTGTTTGCCTAGTTATTTTCTAATGTTTCCCACACTACAATGTTTAATTTAATTTGTCAGTGTATACAGTATATTTGAGGGAACGTTGAATGGATTTTTGGCTTTGGTGAAATTGATCATGTTTCTCCATGATCTAAATCTTATTCCCTTGCATAAAACTGATCAACAGTTAACTGGAATAGCTAAGAATATATTTCTCCTAGACATCTGAACATCTTTAATTAAAATGTTTCATCTCTGGAAAACTGAAATGACATCCCAAACTTGTTTCTGCTGAATTCTACAGTCCTCTTGGTGAGACCGCCAAAAAAAACAGAATAAAGTCTTTTCTCCACCTTGTTCAATGTTTCCACCTCTGCAATAGACTTCTGGTTGATCATCAAGCTGAAATCCAAGGATCCTTGTCTTTCTAGACATCCAAATGTCACTTTGCTAACAGACCTATTGGAGAAAATCACCCAGTTCACAAGATCCAGCTCTGCTGTCAGCTCTCCATTCTTATCCAAATATACCCCATCAATGCAATTATTGTAAAACTGAGAGTTTTGAAGGAAGGCGTGAAGCTGGAATGGGAGAGAAAATGGGCAATTCTTACACAAGATATAGAAAATTCAAGGGCAAACCTCCATTTGCGATGGAATGAAGGATCTGTCTTGAGAAATATACAAACTAGTTTTATTAAAAGGAAAAAGAATGGTGATCAGATGTTCATTATCTCTTCCCATGCATAGTTGTCACTGCAGAGTCTGGAAAACCAATGAGAAATATTCACTATAAAGAAAAAAAAGGCAATAATCTCCCTTGTCCAGGAGGCAGTGCTCATCTCCATTTCTTAGACATAAGAGCCAACATTGTACAAAGATATTTCTGTGGTCATGTGGCCATCATGATTATATGCCAAGGCACATGGAACACAGTTACATTCCCATCCATGCAATACCTATTTATCTATTTGCATTTGCATGCTTTTGAACTGCTGGGTAGGCAATATCTGGAACAAGGATGGGAAGTCACCCTGACAAAATTTAGAACCCTAAAAAAAAGTGCACACAAGCACACTGAACAAATTCTGCCAGTGAATCCAGAATGAAATCATATGTTCCACATAGAAACAAAGCTGTAAAAGACTGATTTGCAGGTCAATGGGGAGATCCCCAAGAGAGAAATCCATTGTCACTTCAAGGCTAACATAGGAGCCTTTGATCTACTTGTACATTGCACTTAATAAACACTGCATTGAGGTAACAGAGGTATCACTTGGCATGGCTGAAGAGAGCCCAGAAAGACATCTTCACTGTGAAAGATGATCTCTCACACTAGTTAAGGTCACCTCTTTGCAATTCTATGGAAGATTTTATGAAAAAAGATGTTGAGACCCTAGAAAAAGTGCAGAGAAGGGCAACAAAGATGATTAGGGGACTGGAGACTAAAACATATGAAGAACGGTTGCAGGAATTGGGTATGTCTAGTTTAATAGAAAGAAGGACTAGGGGAGACATGATAGCAGTGTTCCAATATCTCAGGGGTTGCCACCAAGAAGAGGGAATCAAACTATTTTCCAAGGCACCTGAGGATGCAATGAACAAGAAGCAATGGGTG